TTACAACGGGCTTCCATTAAAAGCCTCTCCATTGACTGGGTGAAGAGAAGGGTAAGGGGTGGTGGTGCCCATTCCCCATTTTAAGGTCAATTTATAAAGTAGCAGCAAGGGGTAATTTCTCATGACTCATCACCCTAGTCATTGTCTGACACACAGTTTCCCAAAGTATGTTCTCAAGAGCAGACTTTTCTCTGTGGAAATCCCAAAGAGAATGAACCAAAAACCAAAAACTGAAAGCTTCTATAGTCAAATAAATTTAAGAAATATGAGATTAAAAACAACTTTTTAAAATCTCATCCAAGAAGGAATATAGGATTCTTTTCTAAATGTATTTGTGTTTTGGAAATGTATTTGATCACAAAACTCTTTCTTTTCAATAATGCTTTTTCACTATTCTGAGAAACACGTTCTAACAAGATTATCTCTGATTTTTAAAATCCTGGAGCAGCCACAGAGAAGCTGATCTTTCTAAAAGTTGTGCTGATAACTGCAGGCAAGCTCTCCTTACTCACCAATTCATTGGCTTTCAAAGGCTGCTCTGTTATCTCTGATTCCTTGCTAGCTGTTTCTGGATGCTAAAATAGAAAAGAAGTGCCTGCTGTTTCTTTCTTCTCCTCTCTTTCCTCTATTTCTTGGAAAAAAAAAAGAGAAAGATTCTATAACCTTGGTCTTCCCCTGAGTATAGTGCTGGGGATTCAAAAGCATTCCTTAGTACCTTGTGAATGGCTTTGTAGATGTAGCTCCCGTTTTAGATAAACAGGGGGTTCCTTACTCTTTCTAAAAATCAACTCCCATTTTCTCACTGATTTATATGAAAATTTCAGGTGAACTGTCAGTATGTATTTGTTCCTAACAAATTAGTCTTAAGCCTCCTCCCCACTCTCACCCAATCTTTTCTGCCAATTACTTAATGATGTATAAACAAACACTTAAAAAGTGTTTAAAAGACAATCAAATATTTATAGGTCTTCTTTGGGAATCTTTTTAGAAGCTGAAGAATCCTTTCAAAAATGTGAGTGATTCATCAATAGAACTGACTAGAAAGTACAGAAATAAACCCAAACACATTTATGAATTTAGTATCTGCTAAAGGTAGTATTAAAATCCATGGGGAAGAGAGTGTCGAATCAATGGTGTTGAGCTAACTAGGTAGAAATCCAGGAAATAAAGTTGAATCTACAACTCACAGCAGGCCTAAAATAAGTTCCAGATGGATCAGAGTTTTAACATGAAAAATAAAACCATGTAAAAGACTTGAGAAAAAAAACCTTTTCGCTTGTTACTTGAGCTGACATAATACACGCTAAGCAATGTCCTTGTAAGTGACAGGTCACAATGCAATTGTGGACACTTGGATAGGAAAAGAGGAATCCAACTCTATCACTGAGGCTGGGAAATAGTTGGCTTAGGCAGAAGAGAGAAAAACGAGAGGATGTTTGATATTTGCATTTTGTCATGACAATAAGGAGCTATAATCAAGTATGGTAATGTTTGGGGGACTATACTAGCCCTGATGGAGGCTTAAAGTAGAGATGTTTGATATATGAGCTGGAGCCTGATTGTAGAGGACTTTGAATGCCCAGATGAAGCGTTTACCCTAGGTTCTCTTTTACTGGGGAACTTCTGGGAGTTTATGAGCTAGAGTGCAGGCTTCTCAACCTCAGTACTACTCACACTTTTGGCCAGATAATTCTTTGTTATTAGGGGCTGGCCCTGTGCATCATAAGATGTTTAATAGCATCCCTGCTCTCTACCTACTAGATGCTAATAGCATCTCCCCCTTTTCAAATTGTGACAACCAAAGATGTTACCAGACACTGCCAAATGTCTCCTGGGGAACAAAATTACCACTGAGTGAGAACTACATTCTGGAATTCCAGAATAATTGGTATTTAAGGACTGTGCAGCTGTGGTTGTGTAGAATGAATAGGATGTTGGAAGGACAGGAACCTGCGAGAATATTAGAAGCTGTGCCTGTACCTGAGGTATGGTATATGATTATAGTTAAGGGCCTTCAATAAAGTACATCTTCCCGTATCCATAACCTTGCATAGTCCCCTACAGCATTGATGTAGGGCTTGGCATATGACTTGCTTTGATCAATGGATTATCAGCAAACATGACACAAGCTGAGGCTTGAAAAGCATTTGTGCTCTTGGACTTACTCTCTCAGAACACTGTCGCCATGTGACAAAGCCTGTACTAGCCTTGTGAAGACCATTTCTGCTCTGCTATAAGGCAATTTGGCCATAAAAGATAAAAGAAAGGAAAATAAAAGAGGGACATTGAAAAGAACATAATGAAACATGAAAAAATTAATAACACAATTGAAAAGACTTTATTGTGAAAATGAAAATACATTCTTTTAATTCTTTCATTTATAGTATTGTTTTTTTTCCGCTAAAATTTCTTAAGAGAGCTGTCAGTTTGCAACTCAAGAATCAGTAATACTTTCAAACACTGTTGTGAATTAGCAGCCACAACTTTTATATTTGCCATAGCTTGGTAAACTCTCAGTTTTGCCAGATGGGAGGGATGACTGTGCTTACCCAAGGATTTGCAAAAACTGATATGCTATGTTGTCATTTTCTAGTATAGTATGCAATCTGGCTAAGATTTATATAATGTAAAAATGGGAGTACTTCAAGAACTTTTTGTCAATGGAGTAATGAAACCAAACTGTCAACCAGTTATTTTATCTTCTATGATGAAATTGCTTGATGGCCAAATAGTAATGCAATGAAAAAGTTTGCAGCAAAAATGCTTGGACAAAAGTGTTTACAATGAAGCTACCTAGAACCCCTGAAGACACATGGTCCAGCTAACAGCAGGCACCAACTTCCAGACATATGAGTGAGACCCTCTAAGAAGAAAATGTAGCCACAATGAGACGACCATGACTACATGATCCTAGGCAAGCCAGAAGAAAAACCACCTACCTGAGCCTTGCCCCAGTTGATGACAACAAAATTATAAACAAGTAAAATGGTAGTTGTTTCAAATCACTAAATATTTGTTGTGTTGTTATGTAGTGATAGATAACTGTTATAGTAGGTCTGGAGTATATTAATATTACTGCAAATGAGAAGATGTGTACATAAGACATTTGGAATAATCCATGTTTCTTGATGACTTTTGTGAAGGGGCTCAGGGGAAGGGCAAAGCAGGTCAAAGAATGTAAGAATTTAGAAACAAGTGCAAAGATCAGAGTGAGCTCAGGAATGAAGTTGCATGAACAGTCTTCAGGAAAGCACTTCTGCCTAAGCAGTGAAAAATATTAACTCATCTATTTTGAAAAATATAGATATTTATTAATTGCTAATAGTATAATATTTCAAAGATTCAGTTTAATAAATATATTTATAAAGCTTTAAAGGCATTGCCAAGCTAATCACTTTTTTATATGGAAAAATCATTCTTTAGAATAAACAAAAGCACATAAACTCAAAATCAATAACAATTTCTATTGCACTAATGTTAAAATTTATTTCAATATATTCGCTGTTCACTTGTATAGAACTATATTCACTTAGCAATTAGATTGCTAAAACCATGGCTTCTAATGTAATGCCTTTCACAATTGACCAGTTAAATTTACAGAGGAAGAGTATCAGTAGTATTTACAGCTTGATAGATGCTGTGTGTCGACCCTATTTATTGTACTATTCAAGAAGAAACATCTCTTCAGATGTTTAGCATTTAGTTTTATCTGTAAAACACTAGCCTGAGGAAATGTGTCAGTGAAATCCCTTTATTTTTATATTTAAAAAATCAAAGTAATAAGCAATAAAGAGAATCCAGAATTAGGTAAAATGGAAATACAGAGTCATAACTAAAAGAAATGGCAGTGAAGAGAGTCTAAAAAGTGGAAGGAATGGATAATGTGAATAAAGTAAAAATAACCTAAATGCATTTTCACAGGCTATAAGAATCACAGAAGGGAACATACTACATAAGTCCTATGACAGAGTTAAGGTCTCTTGGAAATGGAAGGACAAGATTTTTAAAAAGGATCAAAATGAATGAATTTTAAAGACCTTGTACCTATCAAGCAGTCAGTATTAAAGAAACAGTAGCATTGTTGAAATAAGTGTTAAAGATCAAAGGGTAACATACATTTGGATATATCATTTCCATAAGATTTGTTTAAAGAAAAACAAAAGAAGCTATTCTAGTCTTTTAAACATTGCTGCCTGCCAAGGATTTGGGTTATTAATTTTCTCTCAGGTTGAGAAGATAAGGGCTGAGAAAAATTATTTTTTTCTCAGGGATCTGGAAGACCTGTGATTTCTAATGTGTATCAACTAGTTGGACCTTATGGTTGGAAGGACATGCACTTAGGGGAGCCAGTGAAATCAGAGAATGGGGTCTTCTTATTGACCTTGTACTTAGGTTTGTAGGAAAACTTGTATTAATATATGCAGGTTTACCAATTTCCCGGAGTTAGAAATAAATAAAATACACATAACGTTGACCAATTTGGAATCGTACCCCTACCCTACCTTTCTTTCCCCTTCTGTCCAGTTAGTTAGCTTCCCACGTTTGTGCCCGCACCCTATCTGGGGAGAGCTAAGTTCTTGGCTTTGCCCTAGTTAGAGTTTACGCCGAAGGGCCTGGCAACGCTACTGCAGCACCCCCAGTTCCGGCCGTGTCCTCCAACACTGAAGCTCGGGCCAGAGCCCCGCACGGAAAGCGCGGCGGGGCCGCGGGAGGCGTGGGAACCAGCCGCGCTCCTCCTCTCGGGCTGGGCGGAGCCGGGCCCCGCCGGGACAGTGGCGAGTGCCGACGCGCCGGCCACTCGGTCGCGGGAGGACGCTGCTGTGCGGTGCGCGGCGTCAGGGTCGCGCTCGTGCAGCTCCCGGGGCCGGTCGGGGTCCACCGGGGTGCGCGCGCTGGGCCAGCGTTGGGGCGCGCCGCCCCCGATCCAGCCAGGCGCCTGGAACCTCCCGGACGTTCCCGCAAGCGGCCGAGCCAGCTGGACGAGCCGAACTCGCCGAGGCTCCCGGCGGCCGTCGGTGGCCCCGGACTTCGCGCTGGTGCCGCGCTCAGGGCGTGCCGCGCGCCCCGTCGCGCCCCGGAGCTCTCTCGGTCGCCCCCGTCGGGCGGGATGGAGGCGGACGGGGACCCCGAGGAGCTGGCCCAGCTCCGCTCAGTCTTCGCGACCTGCGACGCGAACCGCTCGGGGCGCCTGGAGCTCGAGGAGTTCCGCGCGCTGTGCTCGGAGCTGCGCGTGCGGCCGGCCGACGCCGAGGCCGTGTTCCGGCGGCTGGACGCCGACCGCGACGGCACCATCACCTTCCAGGAGTTCGCGCGCGGCTTCCGCGGGGCCCGCCGTGGGGGGCGCCGCCGGGGCTGCGGGGCGCCCGCCGAGGCCCGCGCCGGGTCCGACCGAGGGGACAGCGAGGGGGACGACGGAGACGAGGACGTGGCGGCGGCGCGGGCAACTCCCTGGGGCCCAGCGAGCCCGGGCCAGGCTTGGCAGGACTTCCAGGCGCGACTCGGGGACGAGGCCAAGTTCATCCCCAGGTGCGTGTGTGCGTTGGAGGGAGGTGAATGGGTTTGGTGCGCAGACTCACTGGAGCCTGCTCTTACCCTTGAGTTCCTTTTCTCCATTCACCGACTCACTAACTTTTCCAAGACCGAGATTCTCTAAGAGTTAGGGGAAGGGTTGGGGAGAAAGTTTCACGGGCCCGTTTCTGAGCCCTGCAAAAGGCACTTGGTTGATTACACGGGCCATAGTGAAACCTCGCGATCCAGAGAGTCTTCCGGAAACCGGTTTAAGAGCCGTCCCCTCCTCAACACAACCCGGTCACTTCACCTACTCAAGGACTCTTGGCTGCACCTAACTGGCATCGGGCCATTTGCCAATTAGGTATCCTCTATAGTAGTTTTTACATGTGTTCTCTTCCTGCTACTAAGAAAAAGAGACACTGTTGGCATATATATTGCTGAACACAGATTCATTAGTGCCTACCGTGTGCTAGGCATTTTAGTGTTCATTTGTTTAAGTTTCAGAATAACCTTGGTGTGTGTGTGTGTGGGGGGGTGAAGGTTACACTTTCTTATCTCTGATTGATGGAGAAACCTAGTCCCAAACATTTAGACCTGTAGAATGCTAAGGGACTTGCCCAGTAAGAAAAAGAGCAGGGATTTGACCCCAGATGTTGTGAACTGAAAAACTCTCTTTTTATGCAACAGAATAACACGATAAAATCATATAATAAATTCTCTACTCTTATGACTCCCGACAGAAATAACATAACATAAAGTTAATAACTTAATCCTCAGGGGGAAAGGGATGTCTGCAGGTTCAGCGCATGGCAGGAAAGCCACTCAATTTTTTGCTTGTTTGAGATTAATTTGCATCTGCCTGTGTCTGGTGTCACGGTATGTCTCAAGCCACTACTTTTTCTTCCTCAGACACGACAAACATGTGAATGCTGTAAAATGTTTTTCGGCTTTCTGCTTAGATTTTAGTTGAAATTTTATGCAGCTCTGGCTGTCATTATTCAGAAGATCAGAAAGGCATCATTTTGGTTGGCAGTTTACATACCTGAATTGTAAGACTCAGAAAAGGTAATAGCCCTGAGAGGCTGCAGTGGCTTGGCTCACCCATTCACAGATTAGACCTGCAGGACAAGGAATCCTCCCTTCTGCCTCCGCCTAGTACTAGTTTGGAAAGTACAGGGAACTAGACATGGACAGTGACTCACTGAGTGAGTGTAAGAGGCATTGTGTAGAGAAAGTGGGTGTGATACCCATCTTTTCTAGTATTTACAAGTCAGTTAAAATGCAGTGCCTCCCCCAGGGAAGTAGAGAAATTTAAACACTGTTATAAACTCTACTCTTTGCATCATCTTTCATCTATAATTTGGTTTGGGTCCAGCTAATTAGAAAGGTAACAATTTTAGGAATAAGGAAATACCTCATCATATTATTTTTATGTATATATGGATGTGTGTACATGTGGATCTACTTTTCACAGTTGTCAGGTCTCAGCAGCAAATATTTGACACTTAACCCTTAAATGATTAAAACTACCTTTTTAGGATCAGTGTACAAACCAGAACTTCATATTATTGGTGATATTATTCACAGTACCTTTCCAAACTCTTCAAAGGTTATTAAATTTAACGGCCACCCATGCACCTGGTAGACTTTTGTCCTAAACTCCACCCCCTTCTGATGGGAGATTAACAAGTACAATATTTGTCTTCCTGTACTTGTTCAAGTGGAAAAGAACTGAAGGGAGCTGCTTCGGCTGATTGTTACCATGGCAGCCATAACTGTTTTGGTAAATTGGATTGCTTCTATTCCACTTCCTCATACTGCTGTTCAACTTCCCTTCTTCCCATCTAAATGTGATAAATGTCTTTTGTTATTGATAATGCCATTGCCATTATTTCAGCCAAGTTGATTCTGCAAACATTATTGAGTACCTGTTTTGTGTCAGACACTATCTTAGGTACTATCCTAGTTCCCTGGAGACAAAGAGAAGGATGAGATGTAATTTAGGCCCTTGAGAAGTTCAAAGTATGGGTGAAATGTTTCTCAAAAATTTCCTCAAAGACCATTTAAAGGCAAGAGAGTTATTTGCTGGAAAACTCCATATATTGTGGACATAGCCTGACAGACTGCTACAAGAAGGAACTTTTATTGAAGTCTTGAGTTTGAATCTTAAAAAAATCATGTATTTGTTCATTTTACTCCATAACATACTGGGGCTTGTCTTAATATAAAATATTATATTTTCTTCAGAGGGGAAATTGCCTCTCCAGACAATTGTCTCTTGGAAAGGTGTGCCGTTTCATGTGGTAGCTTTGTGTCCTACCTGACACTCCCTCTCCCCACTTGGTGGCACCCTGTCCCATGCCTATGGGGGGTATTCATGTACAGTTTGAGGAGAACAGATATAAGAATGTTTGGTTCTTGTAGTGGCAAAACATGGTATTGATTTTAATTTCAAAGTTCATTCCAGCTCTTAGATAAAAACATTACTAAATTTGGGTTAAACTCCCCAGTCATCAATAACTGTGATACCAGAGAGAAAATAATATTGCATTGTGAAAGGATGAAAATGGTGTCTAGGATGTTTGTCCACACATTTTAAGTTCATTTCCTCTTAGAAAATGGAGTGACTCCTTCCCTTAAAGGCTGGGAGGAGAGGGTCCTGAGCAGTCATGTGACCTGTTAATCTGAGCTGGGCAAGTGTACAAAAAGGACAGAGTCAGGATAGACTGTTACCACTTCCTAGTAAGCTGAAATTAGGTCAGCCAGCAGGTGAAACGAGAATGGGCAAGGTGATGTGGTTATGCAAGAGAATTCCAGAAGGAAGATTGTACCAGGTCAAGAAGAAAAGTCCTTGAAGTGGGGAGAGACTGTCTGGGGAAAGACAGAAAGCAGACTTGTAATAACCTAGCTTGTGCAATTTCTGGTACCAGGAGCATTATCTTGGTGAAAAGGACGTTCGTATCCATTAGGTACTCAGTAAGTGTACTCAAATACTTGCTGAATGCATCGAGTAAGCCAATGTTCTTCTATTTCTTGGTTCATAAACTGAGAATGCATTTAGTCCATGCAGCATGCTTTTTTATTCATTTCTTTTTAAAAAGGTTTTTATTAAAATATAGCTAACAATATTATATTAGTTTCAGGTGTACACCATACCATAGTTATTCAACATTTATATACTTAAGGGAGTGATCACCATACTAAGCCCAGCAACCATCTGATATCATACCACGCTATCACAATATTATTGACTATATTCCTTAAGCTATACCCTACATCCCCATAACTACTTTGTAACAACCATTTGTACTTCTTAATCCCTTCTGCTTTTTCACTCACCCCCAACCCCTCTTCCATCTGGCAATCATCAAAATGTTCTCTGTTTCTATGAGTTTGTTTCTGTTTTGTTTATTTATTTTGTTCTTAAGATTCTACATATAAGCGAAATCACATTGCATCTGTCTTTCTCTATCTGACATACTCCACTCAGCACAATACCCGCCAGATCCATCCATGCTGCTGCAGATGGCAAGAACCCGTTGCCTTCCATGGCTAAGTAATATTCCATTATTTGTATGTACCACCTCCTCTTTATCCATTCATCCATCAATGGATACGCAGGCTGCCTCCACATCTTGGCCATTGTAAACAACGCTGCAGTGAATGTATGGATGCACATGTCCCCTTGAAGTAGCATTTTGGTTTCCTTCAGATAAATACCCAGAAGTGGGATTACTGGGTCCTTCTTTGTCTCTTGTTATAGCTTTTGATTTAAGTCTATTTTGTCTGGTATAAGTATTGCTCCCCATATATTTTTATTTTCCATTTCCATGGAATATCTTTTCCATCCCTTTGTTTACTTTCAGTCTGTGTGTGTCTTTTGATTTGAAGTGAACCTCTTGTAGGCAGCACATGTAAGGGTCTTGTTTTCTTATGCATTCAGCCACCCTATGTCTTTTGATTGGAGTATTTAATCCACTTACATTGAAAGTAATCATAGATTCGTAGCTATTGCCATTTTATTATTCATAATTTTGATATATTTTTCTTTTTTTTTTTCCTCTTAAAGAGGTCCCTCTAAGATTCTTTGTAGTATTGGTTTGACAGTGATAAACTTCTTAAGCTTTTTCTTGTCTGGGAAGCTCTTTATCTGTCCTTCGATTCTAAATGATAGCTTTGCTGGGTAGAGTAATCTTGGTTGTAGGTCTGTACTTTTCATCACTTAGAATATTTTGTACCAACCCCTTCTAGCCTGCAAAGCCTCTGTTGAAAAATCAACTGACAGTCTATGGGAGCTCCCTTGTAGGTAACTAATTGCTTTTCTCTTGCTGCTTTTAAGATTCTTTCTTTGTCTTTAACCTTTGGCATTTTAATTATGATGTGTCTTGCTGTGAGCATTTTTGGGTTCATCCTTTTTTGGGACTCTCTCTGCTTCCTGGGTTTGCATATCTATATCCTTTGCCAGGTTAGGGAAATTTTCCATCATTATTTCTTCAAATAGGTTTTCAATTTCTTGTTTTCTCTCTTTTCCTTCTGGAACCCCTGTAATGCAAATGTTGGTATGCTTGATGTTGTCCCAGAGGCCCCTTCAACTATCCTCATTTTTTTTAATTCTTTTTTCTTTTTGCTGTTCTGATTGGGTGTTTTCTGCTACCATAGCTTTTAAATTGCTGATGCGATTCTCTGCTTCATTTAATCTACTGTTGATTACTTCTAATGTATTCTTCATTTCAATTATTGTATTCTTTATTTCTGACTGGTTCTTTTTAAATGTTTTCTATCTCCATTTTCATGTTTCCTGTCTCTTTGTGGAAGTTCTCCCTGAGATTATTGAGCATCCTTATAACCAGAGTTTGGAACTCTGCATCTGGTAGATTTCTTGTCTCCATTTTATTTAGTTCTTTTTCTGGAACTTTGTTCTGTTCTTTTATTTGGGACATGTTTCTTTGTCTCCCCATTTTGGCTGCCTCCCTGTGTTTGTCTCTATTTATTAAGTAGGGCTACTTTGTCATCCA